TGAAAGGGACAGAAGCACTTGTCTGCCAGCCAGACCCTGTCTCAAGGGAGGTGTGTTGCCTACCTGGGGCATGGACCAGGGATGTTGCAGAGAGGCTGCCTGCTCTAGTAAGTCCCACGGATTATTACCCACTCCTAGTGATACATGTGGGTGCTAGGGATATAGATAGTAGTAGCCTGGGGAACATAAAGAAGGACTACAGAGCCCTGGGGGAGGCGGTTAGGGGCTCTGGAGCTCAGGTGGTCTTTTCATCAATTCTCCAGGGTACAGGGGAGGACCTACAAAAAGCTAGGAGGATTAGCCAGGTTAATAAATGGTTAAAAGGGTGGTGTCATAGTCAGGGATTTGGGTGTCCTGAACACAGGACCCAAGCTTGTAGGCCAGGACTAGTGGGGGCTGGTGGAGCTGCTCTGATGAAGAAGGGAAAGAGCAGTTTTGGTAGGAGGCTTGCCAGACTGGTCAAGGAGGCTTTAAACTAGATGTGTTGGGGGAGGGGAGCATCATTCCATCCCAAGACTCCCAGTCAGTTGCCAGCACCTATAATAAATGCTCGGAGCAATGTAGAGATATCCCAGCCGCTCCAGCCAATGAGCCAGCTTCAGTTGGAGCTCGGCTCAGATGCCTCTATACAAATGCCCATAGCATGGGGAACAAACAAGAGGAATTAGATATGTGTGCACGTCTACGGGGATATGATATAATAGGCATCACAGAAACATGGCGGGATGGCTCCTGTGACTGGAGTGTTGGAATGGAAGGTTACAGGCTCCTTAGAAAAGACAGGCTTGGCAGGCGGGGAGGGGGAGTTGCCCTTTATGTTAGGGATAGGCTGGAGAGTATGGAACTCTGTCTGGGGACAGGTGAGCAGTCCACAGAGAGTTTGTGGGTCAGGGTTAAAGGGAATATAGCTATGGGAGACATTACTGTGGGGATCTGTTACAGACCGCCTGATCAAGAGGAATCTGTGGATGAAGCACTCTATAGACAGATAGGCACAGCCTCACGCTCGCAGACCCTTGTTCTCATGGGTGACTTCAACCACCCTGACATCTGTTGGAAGGACGGTACAGCCCGGCACAAGCAATCCAGGAGGTTCCTCGATTGTGTAGAAGACAACTTCCTTCTGCAAGTAATAGAGGAGCCGACAAGGAGAGGTGCCATGCTTGACCTCATGCTCACCAACAGGGAAGGGCTCGTTGGAAATGTGATGCTCCAGGGCAGCCTTGGATTCAGTGATCATGAGATGCTCGAATTTGAGATCCTCAGGACAGTGAGAGGAGCGTGCAGTAAGCTCACTGCCCTGGACTTCAAAAGAGCAGACTTTGGCCTCTTCAGGAACCTGCTTAGTAAGGTACCATGGGATATAGCCCTAGAGGGCAGAGGGGCCCAAGACTGTTGATATTGTGTGCAGTTCCGTTGTTCTCAACATAAAAAGGACATGGAACTGTTGGAACAGGTCCAGAGGGGGGCCATGAGGATGATCAGGGGACTGGAGCACCTCCCGTATGAAGATAGGCTGAGGAAGTTGGGGCTGTTCAGCCTGGAGAAGAGAAGGCTGCGTGGAGACCTCATAGCAGCCTTCCAGTATCTGAAGGGGGGCTATAGGGATGCTGGGGAGGGACTCTTCATTAGAGACTGTAGTGATAGGACAAGGGGTAACGGGTTAAAACTTAAAAAGGGGAAGTTTAAGTTGGATGTAAGAAGGAAATTCTTTCCTGTTAGGGTGGTGAGGCACTGGAATGGGTTGCCCAGGGAGGTTGTGAATGCTCCATCCCTGGCAGTGTTCAAGGCCAGGTTGGATGAGGCCTTGGGTGATATGATTTAGCGTAAGGTGTCCCTGCCCACGGGGGACATGGTTTAGTGGGAGGTGTTCCTGACCATGGCCGGGGTTTGGAACTAGATGCTCTTAAGGTCCTTTCCAACCCTAACTATTCTATGATTCTATGTACAGTTTTCATTTTTATGAAGTGATTTTTAACACAGTAATTGTTTTTAATTGAACAGATATGCAATAACTTGCTTTGGAAGGTCAGGGGGGAAAGGGATCTGAAGTGATTATTTTCAGCTGCTTCTCACAGGCCTGTGCTATCACTTGTAAGATCAGAAGCAACAGAGTGTTTGAAGTGTTTGTTCATGTGGGTTTGGTTTGGTTTCTCTTTTTAAGCAGATGCGAATGGAGACGTTTTTGCATGTAGTTTATTTTAATGAGCTTTCCTTAGCCACAGGAGAGGTGCAGCAATGCAATGCAGAGGTATGTGAAGTGTATTTGAGAGACCATAAGAGATGTTCTGACTGCTGACCTGAAGTTATCGTTGGGGTCAGAAGACAATCTAATATAATATGTTGAGTGTCCCTGTACCATCTGTTAGTTTCAGTGTCAAGAGCAGTTTTGAGTGTTGTGGATGATTGGCCATTGCCACCTTATTTTCAGCAACTACCAGCCTTTGCCTCAGGATACAGTAAAGGGAAGGTAGAAGATCTATTTGTTGCTAGTCTCCTGATACTGGAAACACAAGTGGGCAAGATTTTAAGGGTGCTCTAAACTGATGCAGCTGATTTGAAATAATTAACGACTTTATGAATTTATATGATCCTGAATTATAGACTTTATTAATTATACACTCAGATCTGTCTTTAGCCTTTGCCTTTATAGGTCTTGCTAATGATTTTGCTGCTTTCTGTCCATTCCTGGAAAAGGCATGCTTCCCTTACCCAGCATCCATTTACAAGAAGTAATTGTGGTTAGATTCTTTTCCAAAGCACTAGAGGGCAGCAATATTATATTAAAATCTATCCATTTTCAGACTTGGACAATGCCAGCACCAGCAAGATGAGCCTTCATTTCCCCTACTGGGCCCTCTTATCCAACAGAGCTGGTATTCATAGTCAATCACAGTTCTGAGTGCTGGCACCAACACCATGTCACTAAGGTTTCAATTTTCTTTTTGCTTGTTTTAATGAGTCCTCATTTATCCTTGTCTGCATGAAAGCAGACCCCAAACATGCAAAGTCTGCCACTTGATATGGTCTGCTGGCTTGTACTTGGTACTTCTGCCTTTGCATTATGTCACCTCTTGGTTTAAATACATGCTTAGGTGGAAGGGCACGAAGAAGCTCCCTCTGTGCACAAGTTCATGTTCAAGTCCTGTTTGCCTGGGACTTTCTCATTGTTCCTACTGGCCACCTCCTGGCACATTGAGCTCTCCAGCAGCACTGTTAGAGAACAGCTATTACTGATATTGAGCAAGAATGACAGAATTGGGCTGTGCCATCTATTTGGTGACATTAGACACAGCTCTTGCCTTGATACACTCAGCACTTTTGGTTTTGCATGGCAGGTTCACTTTTACTTGAGGCCGGATAGCAATACATCCCAAGCTCTAAGCCTCTGGTGGATTTGTTAGCAGACACCAGCATTTGCCATTGCTTTCCTAGACAGACACTGACACAAGAGAGATCCGGCTTTGTACAAGGAAGGAAAGAAAAGGAACTGGCAATGGGAGAAAGCAGGGAGGATGTGTTACTCTGTCTGTAAGATCCATATTGAGGACATAAGAAATAGAAGGAGCAGACATCCTGATGGCACTTGCCAGGACCTCGCATCGCGTGGTAAGTAATGTAACCATTATTTCTTGAAGCGGAAGTGAAACATGTGATCCTGGCCCTCTGCTCTGCTCTCATGAGACCTCACGTGGAGTATTGTGTGCAGTTCTGGTGTCCCCAGCATAAAAAAAGGACATGGAACTGTTGAAACAGGTCCAGAGGAGGACCATGAGGATGATCAGGGGACTGGAGCACCTCCTGTATGAAGACAGGCTGAGGAAGTTGGGGCTGTTCAGCCTGGAGAAGAGAAGGCTGCGTGGAGACCTCATAGCAGCCTTCCAGTATCTGAAGGGGCCTATAGGGATGCTGGGGAGGGACTCTTCATTAGGGACTGTAGTGACAGGACAAGGGGTAACGGGTTAAAACTTAAACAGGGGAAGTTTAGATTGGATATAAGGAGAAAATTCTTTCCTGTTAGGGTGGTGAGGCACTGGAATAGGTTGCCCAGGGAGGTTGTGAATGCTCCATCCCTGGCAGTGTTCAAGGCCAGGTTGGACAAAGCCTTGGGTGATACGGTTTAGTGTAAGGTGTCCCTGGCCATGACATGAGGGTTGGAACTTGGTGATCTTAGGGTCTTTTCCAACCCTATCTATTCTCTGGTTCTATGACTCTATCCTAACCTCTGAGCTCCCCGGTGATTTTCTGGAAGAGATTAATTTGTCTCTGGCTTTGCCATTATTTTTCTGCTCTTTCCTGACATGAACCCTGCAGGATGAACCATATATTTTGGCTCAGCTCCCCAAATCCAAACTGCTCTTGTGTTCATTTTGTAACTGCTTTAGCACTACCGGACAATTTACTTAAGTTACTATCTCTATTTGAAAGTTACATAGTAAGAAGGCAGAAGTACATACACAGATTTTAATATTTTACAACTTTTTTTTTTTATAACTTTTTTTACAATTTTTTATTGAAATGTCATATATTTCACATCTCTTAAGTGGAGAAAATAATTCACAGTTTATTTTCTCCACTTCCACTATTGCAAATGAGTTTAAGCCAAGGGACAGGGAACATTTTTCATTTTTATGAGAGAGACTGCATTAGGCACCATAATTTCCAGATGAGGTGATATGTGCAGGAGAAGATGGTGGCTGTGAGCAGGAGATGAGCCACCTTCATAGCCAAAGGAGGCAGGGATGAGAGCTGCAGCAGAAGAGGCTTTACATGGGCCCTGTTCACTCAGTGGTCCCACACATGAAACCTGTAGTGGGAAAGGACTGGAAGAACTTGTTGCATGCTTTGGCTGTGGGATGGGGCAAGAGAATCAAGATGTGAATCTGGACAGCTGACACAGAAGATAATGGTCCCAGTGGGATCTAAACCAATCACTATCAAACATTAAATGAAAATCAAATACTATGATTACCTTGGAAAAAACTCACTTCAACTGGAAGTACACACATACTTTGCTTTAATCAAGTGAACTCTGGCTTTGGTTCTTTGACAGTTCATCGTCTATGCTATCTCTAAGCTATTGCTGATTGTGTCCTGCAGGGAACGCATTTGCTGTTCATCTACTATCCAATACTGATTGTGAGTTCATGCAAGTTCTTATTCCTTGTAGGATGCAGGTCATGAATGGTGCCTCAGGTGACCATTTGCTGGCAGAACATTTCATGGCTGATTTCCACTGTGATGAGTAGAAAAGACATCCTAGAAATTCCTCCTCAGCCCTGCTCCAAGATTTTGCCAGGCTCAGAGGTGAGACTGACTCGTCTGTAGTACCCTGGGTCATTCAAATTCCCCTTCTTGAAAATGGGGGTTATATTTCCCTTTTTCCAGTTGTCCAGAACTTCACCTGACTGCCATGATTTTTCAAATATGATGGACAGTGGCTTAGCAACTTCATTCACCAGCTCCTTCAGGACCCACGGATGGATTTCATCAGGTCCCATGGACTTGTGCACATTCAGGTTCCTAAGATGGTCTCAAACCTGATCCTCTTCTACCGTGTGCCTCAGGTCTTCATTCTCACAGCCTCTGCATCTGCCTTCGAAGACTTGGGTGGTGTGGTCAGAGCCTTTGCCAGTGAAGACCAAGGCAAAGAAGTCATTCAGAACCTCAGCCTTCTCCAAATCCAGGGTAGCCAGTTCTCCTGGTAGCTTCCAGACAGGACTACGTTTTACCAAGTCTGTCTTTTATTCACTACATACCTACAGAATCCCCTCCTGTTATCTTCCACATCACTTGCTAAATTTAATTCTAACTGGGCCTTAGCTTTCCTAACCTGGTCCCTAACTTCCCAGGCAACATCCCTGTATTCTTCTCAGGCCACCTACCCTTGCTTCCACCTTTTGTAAGCCTCTTTTTTCCCTCTAAGTTTCTTCAGCAGCTCCTTATCCATCCATGGAGGTCTCCTGTGATTCAGAGAAAACTCCAGGAACAAATTTGCCAACAATGTTTTCAAGTTGACAAGCAGTTATTCTTTATTGCGGCGCCAGGAGACAAGGGGGTAGCTCCTCCTAACATGTATCTCACTATTGGTACATAACCCCTTCTTATATAGCCACTGGGTATACATACATATTCATGAGGCTACGTATAGATTACATCATTTTCCAGAAAGTTTCCCGCATGCGTACAAAAATGTGGTGGTGGTCTCTGAGGGTCGTTTACTTCTTCCAACGATCTTCATCACTTCTGGCAGACTTTGTAGCATGCGCAGTAGATGTTTATACCAGCTTAACTGATTCCTTAACACCACAGACATAGCAATCATCCTGTCCTTCTACTTAGCAGTTAGTTTAACTGCAGCCCATCCTGGACACCTGCCATTCCCAGATACTCCTTGTCCTCACATCCTGTTTTTCTATCCTGTTTTTCTTACACTCATTTTGTACTAAGGTTATAAGGGCCTAAACCTATGTCAGCTACAATGGTTTATCTTGCACAAGAACTTTCAGTATGTTCTCTAGATGTACTCTGTTTTTTTTCTCTGTGAAACATGCACCTCAGTAATCTTCCATTGCTACTGTTACAAAGCCATCAAACTTAACATCACTTAAAATTTATTCTAAAGGTTTATATATTTCATTTTGAGATTTTGAGACCCCCTTGTCTCACCTGGTCCTCCTGCCGCACTTCCTTCTAGTCAGGATGCAACACTCGTGAGCTTGTAGCAGATGATCTTTAAATACCAACCAACGGTCTTGGGCTCCCCTGCCCTCTAGGGTTATATCCCATGAAACCTTATTAAGCAGGTTCCCAAAGAGGTCAAAGTCTGCCCATTTGAAGTCCAGGGCAGTGAGCGTGCTGCGTGCCCTTCTCGCTGTCCTGAGGATCTCAAACTCAACCTTCTCATGATCGTGACAACCAAGGCTGCCCTGAAGCATCACATTTCCAAACAGTGATAGGGCTGTGTAACTATGCTCAAGAGGAAGCCACCCTCCCGTTTGGCTCCTGGCACTCTGACAGTGGAACAGCCAGGATGGACGCCTGAGCCGTGGAGTACTTTGTGGGATAGGTGGGAAACATGTACTCAGGTGGGGCCAGAGCCATCGGGTGAAAAACACCCTCTTGATCTATTGAAGTGTTGGGGGCAGTTTGTGGATCTACGTGTTGTGGGGCACACAAAGCCCAAAGAGTACCTGCAACACACTGGGAGCATGGGAGGAGCCCTGCTTACTGTATTTAACATGGGGACATTTCCAAGACTTGGAGGAACAACTTGGTTGAAACAAGAAGTGCTAACTGAAAAAGCAATGGGGGTAGTGCAACAACAAGATTTATTAGCTGCCACCCAAGCAGCATCAGGGTGGCAGGAAAAAGACCCTAGAGAATTTAGCAACATCATATGCCATGAGGACAGTTTTTCCATGGCTGAAATGATGGAAGGGTTGAGATTGTCTTCAAACTCTCAGAGCTGATGAATCAATTCATCAACTGTTGGTGGTGCTACGTCATTCCAGGTTATTGCTGCCAAACAGTGGGCATATGATGCTGGTGCACTCTGTGTAAATTTCCACCACATGGATCGTGTATATTCAACTTCATCTGATTCTACAAATGCTTTCTCAGCATGCAATTTTCAATAGGTTATCTCTGCAATGGCTGATTCCCTCAGAAACTGGATGCCTGTCTCTGTCGTGGTCCAGTTGGCTGAACGACTCATAACATTGTCCTAGTCTGGAAACCTTTCTTTGTGGGGGTTTAAGCCCAGCCGGTATCTCAGAATTAAGCAGCTGCTCGCTCACTCACTACCCCCTTCCTCCTCCTGCTCCTGGGGGGATGGGGAGGAGAATCAAAAGAATGAAACTCCCATGAACTGAGATAAGAACAGTCCAGTAACTAAGGTATAACACAAATCACTACTGCTACCACCAATAATAATAATGATAAGGGAAATAACAAGGGAAGAGAATACAACCACTCACCACCCACTGATGGATACCCAGCCCGACCTGAGCAGTGATGTAGGTCTTCCAGGTAAGACTCCCCAGTGTCTGGGCATGACGTGCTGTGGTATGGAATACCTCTTTGGTTAGTTTGGGTCAGGTGTTCTGTCTCTGCTTCCTCCTGACTTCCAATCCTCCCTGGCAGACCATGAAACTCAGAAAGTCCTTGGTCAGGGGAAACATTACTGAGCAACAACTAAAAACATCAGTGTTATCAGCGTTGCTCCCAGGCTGAAAGTCAAAAACACAGCAAGGCACCAGCTACTAAGAAGGAGAAAAACAACTGCTACTGCTGAACCCAGGACAGGTGTAAATCCTTGTGGCTTAAAGGTGAATGTGGTACTGTGATCCTTTGGGCTCCAAGAAATGGGAAGGGCCTGTGGAACTGATAACCTGGGGGAGGGGGTATGTTTGTGTCCTCCTACCTACAGCTCCATCATCACCGCCAGCAAAGCTTGTCAAGCCATACCATGAGCTGGACAGCCTAGTTGAAGAACCCGATGCCTCAGCTGCAGAAGCTGACCTTGAAGACCCCGAGCGAAATGAGACAGAGAAAGAGGAATGAATTGCAAAACATCACTTGGGGGCAACTGAAAAGTAATGACTTGAATATGTGTGCTTGCAAGGAAGCTATTATTAGAGGCTGTGATTTTGTGTATAAACCACATGTATTTACTAGCCAGTAGCTGATAAGAAACTACACCTTGTATCATATGGATTTGTCACTTGTAAAAGAGATGTTAGAGCATGCAAATTTTCAGCAGCTGCTAGAAAATGCTAAGGCAGAAGGTAGAAAGATTCTAATATGATCCTAATATTATAAGGCCGGTAATGGAACAAATTAAGAGGGTGGGAGAACCCCACTGCTGGGAAATTTTCTTTGGGTGGTCCCCCACTGCCATCAGCATCTTCAAAGCGCTGCTGCACCCTGTAGTAGTTCTACTGCTAATGTAAATCTCTGTGTGCTTTGCCATAGTAGCAACTTGTTACTGGATGAGGCAGGAGAAACCCTCCATTGACAACAAGGTGCAAGGATTGAGGCTGGCCAATGCCTCCTACCACAGTCAAGGGCAAGAATGGGTTGGCCTCCACGTTTGCCACCAAGAAGAGCCTTTAGCTCTGCTGTTGGCTGCAACCCAGCAGGTGTTGAGTGGTGGGAACACATGCCATGCCAGACCTTGATGTGAGGGATGGCCTCCTTTGGTATAAGAGGGACATCCAGGAGGGAAGGACAGGCCAAGCAGCCTGTGGTTGGCAGGAGAAATGATCTAGTCCATATCCCCTGCTCAAGCAAGGTCATCTAAAGCAGGTTTCATCATTAGCATAAGTAACTATTAGAAGTACTTATAATAATATAATGCATTATAAAAGTAAAGCTCCTGTCAGGTTAACTTCCTTGACCTTTTGGAGACTAAACAAGCAATTAACCACATCTTGCAAATGACTAAAGAACTTCAGTGATTTCATCTTTTTTCAACTGTGTTATGTTTTGAGTCCTGTAAGTTCATACATTAATATTTAACCAAGCTTTTCAGCTAGCTGGACAAATGTCATTTCTGTGATCTGAAAACTAATGATGTGGTTTGCATCTTATCTCTTGTACTAGCTGTGTAGTATGTTACAAATGTGGGCGTTGTTACATAAATTCTTGAATGCTGAACTTAGCACTGAACCTTAATTCCTGCTGATCACAGCAGATCCTTTGTCAAATTGCTGCCAGAAGTAAGGCAGAGATGATACTGTGATTTTTTATAAGGCTCAAACAAAAGTCCTCTTTGAAAGCAGTAGGAGTTTAGTAGCTGAGAGGTTGTTATTCACAGCAGAACAGGCAGGATGATTTCCACAGGTTACTCTGCTAACCTGCTGTGCTGGTTTTGCCTTGGGTAGAGTAAATTTTCTTCATAGCAGCTGGTATGAGTCTATGTTTTGGATTGTGCTGGAGCTGTTTGACAATAAGAAGGTGTCCTTTTTCACACAGACCCAATCTGGAAGAGAACAGAAGCAGGTGAATTAAACAGCAAGTGCAGGTCCCAGGTTAAGTGCTACATACAAACACAGGGTGGGACCCCAGGAGCTGGCCCAAAGAAGCCTCCAGGCAGGCCCAGTAAAACAACAGCCTCCAGAAGACGTTGAGAGGAAGGCCTGGATTTTGAAAGATCAGTTCATGCAGTGGCACCCCACCCTGTCAATCTGAGCTCAAACTCACAGGTGGACCCAGAGAATGATGCCATTTCAT